GGCTGCAGTGATGACCAAGAGATCGTGGTTCTTATCCTCAGGAAGCTTACAGTGCAGTCAGCTGTGCCAATTAGCAGCTTCACTGATCACAGGAAAGTCACTTAACTTCTTTGAGCTTGAACTATTCCAAATGTTAATTCACTGGGAATTCAAAAAGCTAACTAAAATGTGAACTTGCTCCACAAAGAGCTGTTTAAATACAAGTGTTTGCTTAATACTGACTTTTTTTCTACCACATGGCTACCACAAAACACTTATTCTATACAGACCAGGAGCAAGGGGGTGTGGGAGCCTTGATTCTCTTCTTACTGCCCTCGCCAGCCCAGCCGTGGTCACAGAATCTAGTCCACAGGAAGCATAAAGAAGCCTAAGGACCAACTGAAGCTACTGAATATCCCAAGTTCCATGGTGAAACATCAAGTGATACCAGGTTAAGCAGGTTTCTTTGCCCACTCATGTAATACATGTTTATTGAGTACCCACCTTTGCAGTGTTCCCCAGTGAGGAAGCAGGGGGGGGAGGGGCATTTTAACAGTTGATTTAATTGATTAATTTTAATTTGGATCAGAGCTTAAGGGAAACAGAGACCTCAGATAGAGCCACACTGGAAAAGACCTGCATTGGTTAAGCTGGACAGAAAAGGTCTCTGGGAAAAAGTAGGGCTTGGGCTGACACCTGAAAGACAAGAAATTACCCATGTAGAGAAAGAAGTAGGGGAGTCCAGGCAGAAGACACTGTGTACACAAACACACCAAGGTGAAGAAGCGCTGAGTGTGTTCAGGAATGGAGGACTTCTTATAAGCTTGATAGAAAAAGGCTAGTAAGCAGAAAAGGTTGGTGGAAGCGACTTCACTCCTCTCACAAACCACTTACTCCAGAACTTCTTGGAGCCTTTGTAATGCTAATGTCATCAAGAGGCTCTAAGACAAGGATCCAGAGTGTACTTCCTCCCAAGTCTAAAGTTGAATCTCCGGAAGACTAATGCCCCCAGAATACTCCAAGACATGTTCTTCTAAAGTGCTGACTGCTCTATTAGTTCTGGTTGTTTCAAGACACAGGCGATCTGAACTGTGCATCACTACTCCTCTCACGAGGCTGCTGGCACCTGGGCGAATTGCTCAGCGTCTGCAGGACTCATTTGTAGAGGAGGAGAGTTCCACAGACAGGCTGGTGTATGAGCCCAGGCCAGTCCGTTACAAATTCAAACTGAACAGAGACTGTGAAAACTTGATTTTTAAGTTTAAAAATTAAATTTGATTAAATTCACCAAGAATAATCACCTATACTTTTAAATCCTAGGTCAAAGATGGGGAAAATGGAGAAAGAACAGGATACTGCTTATATTGTCATCAATAAATGTACCATGAGATACAGACTTGAAATTAGAATTATTTCTTAGCAAAAGAAAATAACGTATTTCCTTTATATTTATATTTTAGCTCCTAATTGCATATTTCCTTTTACTGCTACTTTGAGGAGAAATGCTTCAAATTTCCCTTTTTTTCCCCCTGTACTTTACTAATGAGTACTTTAATCAGTACACAGGAGAATACTGAGATGTTTACCTTTAAGATATTCCTGGACTCTTACATCACTGTAGTCCAAGTTATTCTATATGCTCTTTACACCCAGCTGGCTAGCTAATGAATTACATAGATAATCACATAAGTGAAAAGTAATTTTTATCAAAACAGTACAGGATTTTTGAATGATATTGCTAGTCTTGTAAATGAATCTGTGGCATCACTATCACCCTGCTTGTTCTTTAAATAACCATTTTATACATGCTTGCAAATGATACTTGTGAATGGCCTGATCCTCTCTCTTTCCCCACATCCCAAACCAAAAGTAAAAAATCAGATTAGACATAGGCTATTCTTCCACATTCAAAACTATCTCTGAAACCAGGAGTAGCTGTGTATACATAAGGGATGTAGGGTTGGTTGGGCCTAGAGTTTTAAATTAATATCCTGGCTTCACCAGTTCAATTCCCTGTACATCTTCATTTGCCCAGTAACACAATCTATAGCCAACTGCTAACCAAGTCAATATGTGGCAAGACTAACAGCCACCCTAACTTGACTTGATAATTACTCTCCTTTAACTGGCGTAATATTCAATATACTGTTGTTGAGAGCAATAATGCTAAAATTGATGCCTTGAGGGCTACAAGACAATTGAGTTTCAGCCAGATAAAATGACTTGTACACTAATAGTGCATCATAGGGTTCCACAACCTTTGGATGCACATTTTTATAGTCTACTTGTACAAAAGTGTTTTATATATATAATTATATTCAAAGTGATTTGTGCATACTTTATCATTACTACATATAATTTAAAAAATATTGACCAATAATCAAATGACACTATTTTATAGGACAGGGGTTTATTTCTATAGCCTAGCTCTTGTTTTAGGGGTGTTTGTTTTATCATTTTTTAAATGAGCATTTTCTCACTACACAGGTATTAACAGTTTTGTGTCCTTCAACTTCTTGTTTTTTTATGAAACCAAAAATTGTTTTCTCTAAGGAATAAGTAGATAATAAATGCTGAATAACAAAAAGAATCATTTAAATAAAATCTATAATACATCAATTCTGTCAATAAACAAGACAAAAACTAAACCTAGTATTCCTCTAATGTAAAAATCATCCATGATTTTTTTAACAATGTCAATTCTAGACTCTGAATGGAGAAATAGATATTACATTTGAGGTTTTGTCAAAATGCACATTAAATTAATGAAAACTAATAACTTAAGTATAACAATAAATGACAGTGTTCTTTGTAAGCAATATTTCACCCCAAAATAAGAGACTTTATAAATGGTGAGTTTGTGGTTTTGCTGAATTTTTCTCTAATAATAATTTCTCTTGCAATTTTCTATCTTTACAACCTGAGCCTGCATACAAAAAGAAATACGGAGTATGTTTTCTATACTTCCCTCAGAGCTATGCTGAAATTCGGGGTGGGGAGAATTAACATCTACGTAATAATGTCAAGTTAAAAACAAAACAAAACAACAGCACCAGTCAAGGCAGAACATTAGGACCACACCACAGAACACCCAGAGGGTTCTGTTTTACTGACAACAAAATGTTGCAGTAAACTGGGTTATTAAGGTGGCAAAGAATCATAGTCATGCAAACATCTGTTTGTTTGGACAGAAAGACACCATGCATATGCTCCACATATCTTAGGCAAATGTATACATGGAGAACTAAAATACAGCATTGATGATAAAACTAATAAGCATTGAAGTGGAGGCAATAAAGACAATAGTAGGTTGGGGCAAAATACTTTAGGTTTTAAAGAAAGGACAAAGTGCTTAAACAAGCCAACTATTCCATTCAAAAATCTGCAAGTGGTTTGTTCTTTCATATAGGACAAAATCCATCCAAAATGGATTTTAATAACCATGTTGTGGAAACATCTGCAGAAAGACGTGGCCCAAATGTGTCTTGAGGCCAGCACAATCAAGGACTGTTAAACTGGATCCATGCTTTGCTTCTCCTGGCCCCTTCCTCCTAGACCGAGTGCTCCCTCAGGTCCACTGACCACCCAGGACTTAATGTTCCACTGAAATGCCCCCACCCTGAGGCAAATGAGAGAATGCTTGTGAAAGTACTTTATAAACTAAAAATAAAATACATAATTATTCCTATTACAATCTCATCTTTAGAAGGCCACATTTTCTGTGCCTTCCAAGTTGACATCTCACTGAACTAAAAATTGATTCTCTGCTAATTAAAGCAGTCACGGGAGCAGAAAGGTTTTTCCACCTCCCCTCTTTCCCTACGTCCACTCCTCATCCCTCCCCTGCTCTCCTGCCCTGGCTAACGCCTGGAGGTACCACACAGGAGAATGACAGGAACGTGTGTGTTTTTATGCCAGGTTAAAGCAAGGGGAGACTTGAAGCCCCCTACTAGTCACATACCAAGCTGGCAGCCAAGGCCTTGCACACAACACAAGGTAACTCGGGGAATAAACAGGCTGGCAGAGCCAAAAGCAATTTTTTTTTTGAAGGGGTCAATTCTCCTGGTATTATCCCCATAGGAAATTTCAAAAATCACTTCAGAGTCTACCTTTTCCAACTGTGCTCTCCTTTGGCAGGAGGGAGTACTTCTTCATCATCCAGTGTAGTCTTTTTGGATCCTGGGGTCTCCCAACATGCTGTTTTCAACATTTACCCTTCAAGGGTCGTAGGAAGACAGATGGCCATAAAAACATTTCAGAGGCAAAGTACACAATGCAAAACCACTCATAACATACTGCAAAATATGATGAAAAGGGACAGGGAGGCTGCGGGGGAAGGGAGTGGAGGCTGCGAGCCTCCCGGAAAAGTTGTAAGACCCTTACCAGATCAGAAGTGCCGCGGACACAAAGAAGGGGCTCAGGTTGGAAGAACAGGTGCTATGAAGGCCAAATGTATAACCATGTCTGCATGTTTTGGAGTGTGAAAGTTGACTGGTTATAAAAACAGGGAATTTATAGAGGTCACAGTTCTTCCTTCAGTTTGGATGAAGCAGCAATAACAGGGTGCACAGACAACCAAGAAAACACCAAACCTACAAATTAAGGGTGAAAACAAGCCCTACTAAACCCAGCTGAAGTGCAATCTCAGATTTCCACACACCCATCACCCACCTCCAAGAGCCCTCTTGTCTAGTAGGGCTACAGCAAGCCTTGTCGGAGAAGCCAGGAAGCTCATATTGCAGGGAGACATAGTTGGATTAAAAAAGATGCAAACAAAGCAACACGAGGCAATAGGCCACTCTTTCCTTTCTGATATACACCATCGAAGCCCGCTGCCGGCCGACTGGGACATCACTGCTTCTTTCCAATTCCCTGACAAGCCTGCAGAAAGGACTGTTTTAACCAGAAGAGGGTGTGTGCCTGCCGGGACTGCGAGGGGCAGGAAGGAGACCAGGTTTGCCAAGGGCTCTCACCCAACCCCTCCTCGCTGGCCAGACACCAGCTTCAATGTCCCCCCCTACCTGAAGGATGTACCCCCGAACGTAGTCCCGCAGAGTCCAGCCCAGGCCGTGCAGGATGTGTAGCACCTCCTCCTGCTTCAGGACACTGAAGAGACGGTCCAGCAGGATCTTTAGCCGCACGGGCACCGCTTGTGTCCCATAGAGCATCAGGCTGCTGATGTCAAACACCACGTTGGACTGCACAATCTCCACTTGCGTGGGGTGGTACAGGTGCTGGGTGCTGAGCTTGTCCAAGGCTGTGGTGGTCCCACCGAGGTTCCGGAGGTGGATGGGAATAACGAGACAAAGGGAGAGGACAGAAACAGACAAAGCAGAAACCAGTTACTGGAAGTTATCAGGGCTCCATTTCTGAGGATGCATGACAACTGCAGATGTTTAAGCAAGAGTTTGCAATATAAACAGTTATCTTCCCACCTCCTCCGTTTTGTTTCTAAATTGCAGGCTGCAGACCAACAACAAGTAAATACAAAACACGTTCAACTTTCAGAAAGAGAGCCACTGATGATGTTTCTAAAATGACTGTAGCTGACTCTTAAAAACCAGACTAATTAATTTGCTAATTGAACTATGGTTCTACCCAAGTTATCATGGGGCCCACCCTCCCCCAACCAAAGAAAAAACAAGCAATTCCCACCTCATGCCCTAAAAACAGGCTTAACCGATTGTACTTTTTAAAAATATAATTTATGCCCTGGACAGTTTGGCTCAATAGTTTAGAGCGTCAGCCCACGGACCAGAGAGTCCAGGGTTAGGTTCCCTCTGAGGGCACGTGCCTCGGTTGCAGTTTGTCCCCGGCCCTGGTTGGGGTCGTGTGGGTGGAGACCACTAGATGTGTCTCTCTCACATCTGTGTTTCTCTCTCTTTTCCTCCCTCTCTCCCTCCTGTTCTATCTGAAGATAAATGCAAAAATGTCCTCTGGTGAGGATAAAAAAATAAATAAATAAAATTCATGCCCTGGCTAGTTTGCCTCAGCAGTTAGAGTATCGGCCCGTGGACCAATGAGTTGCAGGTTCGATTCCGGTCAAGGGCATGCACCTCGGTTGCGGTTCATCCCTGGCCCTGGTTAATGTGTCCCTCTCACATTGATATTTCTCTCTCCCTCCCTCCCACTCTATCTGAAGATAAATAGGAAAATATCCTTGGGTGAGGATTGAAAATAAATAAATATAAATAAAAATAAGATATGCTCTTTATAAAATCTGAATGGTTTAAAGAGGAAGAGAAGCAAGTTCTTCAACTATAGAGGTCTCAAAGGCCAAATTTAGAAGGAATGAGGAAAGTTCACATCTGTGTGGAGGGTTCTCAAGTTCAATTAGTGAAGGGAGATTATCCAGGGACTTAGTTCTCCCAATTTTACCTTTTGCTGCTTACCTGGTAGATTTAGTTTAGTGCTCGCTGGTATATTCTATAAAAGTTATTCGAAAGAAACCAAAAAAAAAGAAAAGAAAGAAACTCAGGCCATAATTTAGTCACCTTTTAAACAGCTCTGACCAGGGTTTCATGTCACATGAAAATGGAAAAAAAAAAAAGACTAAAAGCAAAGTTTGAGAATGTCTGTGTATTTCAGCTCTGTTATCTCAGTACAGAAAACTAAAGATGACCATTCTCAGAGTAAATACTTTTAATAAAATCAATATTTCAACAATTAGGCCTCTTCCTCCTCAAATCTAAGAAATTCTCTCTCTCCCCTAGATCATAAAGCCAAGATAAGATCATATATTCTAATCTCCATCCTTATCTGAGTTACTGGGAACCCTGTTGCAGATAACAGAATTATATTTTCCCTCAGTTTCTCTAAAGTGAACAATTAAGAAAACATGCTCTCGTCTTCAGGACTCAGAGATGCTACAAAGATTAATGAGATAATGAATGAGAGATGCTTTGACCTCTTTGAGAGAACACAAAAGCATTAGATCGAGTGTCAGAATTATACACATATGACCTTCTAGAGATTAAAACAGATAAGCACCTGAGCCTGAAAGATGGTCATCTAATCTCATGAGTGAGGATACTGACTAACAGACAACATCCAGGCTCAAATCCTAACTATACCCGCAAGTCCAGTACCCAGCATTTCTGCAAGTTCTAAACCACTGCCTGGCCTTTCTCACCTACTCTTTCTTAGCCCATAACAGTATGTACTAGACTGCACTGGACTGTCCATGTCCACTCCGAGCAACTCTTATTTTAATATACTAGTGTTTCCGCATATTAATGCAGGTATTTAAAAATGCATGCACACACACACACACACGGTTTTTTGTTATTTCAAATATATTTTTTTCAGGGCTCCTCCTCCACTCTCGCTTCCTCCTGACGTGTGGTCACTAGAGAGTTCATGTACTCTTGATAAATTGCTTTCTTACATCCATAGTGTAAAGGCCCTTATCATTTACCCGCTGGCTTCATTCAACACATTTACCCCCAGGAATACTTTGTCAAAGAGTTCGGGTTTTCTCATACTTCATTTCTTGCAGCTGATTTGTCTGATCTTTCCTATTCTAGTGGTTAAGGCAACTTTGAATAAATAGCCTTAAAAATTAATTTAACATTTGGGAAAGATAAGGGATTCACAAGCCTAGGGATTGACGTCTTCTCTCACTCCACAGGGCATTCAGACTGCAAAAATGCAGGAAAGAAGTAGTATTATCCCTGTTCTTCTTCAAGTACAACTTACCTACTCAGCCTTATGATGAGTGGCTACTCTGCTTACAGAATCCAGTGACCAGTTCAGGGAAAATCTGCTCCTCCTCCCATCCTCTTCCATCAACCCGCCTGGCCCAGATCAGTCAGTTCTCCACAAAATACACTGGTTATACCAAAACAAGTATGAAATCGAGAGGGCTCAGTAGGGGGAATAAAACTGCACCAAGCCCAGATTTCTGTCCATGTGTTTGACCTTGTCCTTATGCATTAAGTATATGTTAAGTGTGTGTACCAATGTGTTCAAGGGCCAGGTGGAAAGCTGTCTTATCAGTCCTCTCCCTCGCACTCCCTTCAAACGGCTAACAGTTTCAGAAGATAAAGAAGACTAAACTGTTGAGGGTAGAGAAACAATGGGAAATTGTTCAGAGAACTGAAAGAGCACAGGTGGAGTAGGTATGGCAAAAACATTTCCCTGATACGTTTTTGAGGACATCAGAGAACAAGAGTATTATAAGCACATTACCTGATTCTTCTTCATAAATATATGTCAAGAAGTAGGAATTCTGTCAAAAGCTACAGAAACAGCCCTGGCCGGTTTGGCTCCGTGGTTAGAGCGTCGGCCTGTGGACCAGAGAGTCCCAGGTTCAGTTTCTGCTAGGGGCATGTACCCGCCCACCCCATACCCCCCCAAAAAAACAAACAGCTACAGAAACATAGAGCACAGGTCAATAACTCTTTCTGTAAAGGACCAGATAGTAAATATTTTTACTTCTTGTGGGTCATACATTCTCTTTCCCAACAATCACCTCTGCTGTTATTAAAGCAGGTGAGATTGAAACTAATGGGCATGTCTGTGTTCCAATAAAACTTTATTTGCACATATTGAGCTCTGATATGGAGGATGAAAGAGTAGACTGGATATGCTTAAAAAATTCAAAGGAGCCCTGGCCGGTTTGGCTCAGTGGTTAGGGCATTGGCCCATGGACCAGAGAGTCCCAGGTTCAGTTCCTGATAAGGGCACGTACCTCAGTTGCAGTTTGTCCCTGGCCCTGGTTTGGGTCTTGTGGGTGGCAACCAGTCGATGTGTCTCTCTCACATCTCCCTCCCTCCCGCTCTATCTGAAGATACATGCAAAAATGTCCTCAGGTGAGGATTAAAAAAAAATTCAAAGGAAAAAGTCCTGAGAGTGTGATTTAAGCAGCAATTACCTAAGAGATAAGCCATAGACAAAGCTTGAAAAATACTAAACTGCCCAGCTTGCAGATGTCAACTGTAAATGTCAGCATGAACATGTCATCAAACATTATGATTTATCAAAATTCTTGAATGTATCAACATTTTCTGCTTTATAATTGCCAGATTATAGTGAGTCCAAGTTGTCAACAACTTTTGGGGATGTCTCCTTGATAGACAAAGAGCAGGTGATGATTTTTTAAATGTCCCTAATAGAGATGAATTGAGAACTGGACTTCTGCCTAATGTTATGACTGTCCTATGTCTGAATGTGGAGGATTCCAGTCTGGATTCTAGTAGGGTCAGAAATATGAGTTGGGTCAGTGAGATGAAGCAAAGTTAGGGCAAGAATTTTTTCAGTGGCATGGAGTAGGACAAGATAGTCACTTGCTGTATACGTCACGGGCCTAACCACCTGCTAAATTGTCCTGTACCAGTGATAGTGCCAAAATTCCATTTTCTAATAAAATCTTAACCCCAAATTGAGTATAAAAATATATAAAAGTGAAGCTATTCTTGGTGAAGCTAGAGTAAGCATGGATTATAGAAGTTGCAATCATCTGTTGCTTTCTTCTTCCTTTCAACTTGTTTTAACATCTCAGTTGGAATCCTAGAGTTCCCAGAAGCCCAGTTTGAAAACACACTATTCTACACAATAAGATGGAATCAACTGTTTTGCCTGCTTTGCATCTACTCCCTTCATTCTAGTAACAGAGACCGAATTTCCCTTTGGAGAACCAGTCTTTCATTATATAAAACAGAATATTCCTTAAGCCAGGCCTGGAAAACCAGTGCATCCCAGTTCCTTGACCACAGCAACTCATTCAAGAATGGGCAAGTGACCTAACCTGAACCGTGAGATTGAATCCAGGACTTCGGAGTTAGAAGTAGTGGGGAATTTTTCTCTTTCCTCAAAATTTGAAGCTGGTCAATATGCTTGAGAACCAAACTCACATGGAAGACAGATGGGATGCAAAGAAAGACCAGGTACTGCCAATACAGTTTGATCCAAAAGACATGGGCATGGTTGTTTCGGAGACTGGTACTTTACCTGGAATTTTCAGGTACAAAAGCCAAGAAACTCTCTCTCTTTTGATAGTTTAAAGTAGGATTCTATAACTTGTGTCTAAAAGAGCTTTGAGTAAGAGAGCTACCTTTGGGGTACTTCCCCAGCTGGATACTACGTAATTTCAAAGCAGATGACAGTGGTTCAATAAAATGTATGTCAGTTCCAGGCCAAGTGCAATTTCTCCAATGAGTGGAATGAGCGTATCCTTCAAAATTTCGTATCTTATACAAATTTATAAAGAGTGATTAATGCCGTCAATGTTAATAAATAAAAATAATTGCAGGAGAG